CTCTCTCTCTCTCTCTCTCTCTCTCTCTCTCTCTCTCCTCTCCTCTCTCTCTCTCCTGTCTCTCTCTCTCTCTCTCTCCTCTCTATCCCCTCTCTCCCTCTCCCTCCCTCGCCTCCTCCCCTCCCTCCTCCCTCCCCTCCCTCATTCTCCCTCCCCTCCCTCCCCTCCCCTCCCTCCTCCCTCCCTCACATCCCCCACACGTCCCAAGTCCCTCACACGCCCCACATCTCCCCACACGCCCCACACCCCGCCCCACACTTCCCCACGCACGCGCACACCCGCAGGCAGGTATAGATGCCGACCAATTTTTCAACCTTCCCTTAGGGTCGGGATGTCGGCAAAGTTAGCGAATAAATCACCCGAACGATTAGTAGTTTATGAAAGCAATTTCCCTCGAGATGGCGCGACAGTCGGTCAATTTGTTTATTTATTTATAGATAGAAATTGATGGATAAAATGGAAATATCGATAGACCTTTAGGTAAATAGATATGTTACTATAAAAAGATACATATATAGGCAGATAGATTGATAGGGAGGTAAGTAAAAAGACATAGAGATAGAACTGATAAGTTAGTAGATATGTACGAATTATATATGAAGTCGTAAAACCTCCTTGCTAGCAATTTAGGCTGTTATATGTCCGAAATTGCTAGACTTATTAGCATAGTACCCGAATTAGTCTAATGATGATGACGTTATATAACTCACAAGGCATAATCAGTTAATTGTCCCTTCCTCCTCTTCTCCTCTCCCTTCCCCTCCTTCTTCCTATTCTACTCTTCCTTCCTTTCCTTCTCCCTGTTCTACTCTCCCGTCTCCTAATTCTATCCTCTCTTCTCTTCCTCCTCCTTCTCTTCCTCCCCTACTCTTCCCCTTCCCTTCTCCTCATTTCTCCTAATTCCCCTCCTCCTCTTCTCTCGTTCTTTTTATCCCTTCTCTTCCCTTCCCTTCTCCTTCTCCATAGCCCCATTCCTTCTCGTCCTCTACCTATCCTTCTCCCTTTTTCTCCTTCTCCTCACTCTTCTTCCCTTCTCCTGTCCCTCTCTCTTCTCCCTCTTTACTCCTTCTTACCTTCCCCTCCTCTTCCAAACATTTTCCCATTTCCCTTCTTCTCCTTTCTCTCCTCCTCCCACTCCCTTCTTCTCCTTTCTCTCCTCCTCCCTCACTCCTTCTTTCTCCTTTCTCCCTCCTCCCTCACCCCTTCTTCTCCTTCTCTAGCCTCCTCCCGACTCCTCCCTTGCTTCCCTCTTATCGAATGATTATCGTTCTTACACGATCACTTTCTAAATAAGAAATTTAAAGAGGAGGAATAGGGAGGAGGGAAGAGGGAAGGAGAGGGGAGGGAAGGGGAGACAAATGAGGGAAGACGGGAGAAGGGAGGAAGGTAAGAGGAGGGGAGGGAGGGGTGAAGGGTAAGGAAAGTGAGGGAAATTAAGGGAGAAAAAATGGTGAGGTAACGGGAAGAGGGAGATTAATTAAGGGAGAGGGAAGCGGGAGATAGATAAGTATAGAGAGGAAAGGGATAGAAGAAGTCAGGGGGAAAAAGGGAAGTGAAGGAAGGGGGGGGGTGAAGAGAAAGAATGATAAATGTTAGATGAAGAATGGTAAAGAGAAGGAACCAAAACAAAAACAGACGGGGAAGGAAGACGGGGACTATGAAAATAAAAGTAAAAAGAAGAAAAAAAAAAAAATGTATAGTGTAGAAGGAGAGGAAGAGGGAGACGAGGGGAAATGTGAAAGGGGTCGAAAATAATTGAATTAAGAGGGAAAAAAAGTTAAATTTGATGAGCTGGGTATAAAATAAGGAGGAGAAGGAGAGTCAACAAAAATCAATTACAGGAAGACCAAAGTCGCCAGACACGAACATCTAATAAAAAGGTTGATGGGAGAAAGAGAGGGAGAGGAAAAGGGAGAGGGAAAGGGAGAGAAAGGGATAGGGAGATACGGGAATCGAGAAGGAGAGGGAGAGAGAAAGAGAAGAAGGGGAGAGAGAAGGAGAAGAAGAGGGAGAGGAGAGAGGACGAGGGAAAGGGAGGAAGAGACAAGAAGGGGAGAGAGAGAAGAGACGAAGAGGGAGAAGAAAGAGAAAAAAAGGGAGAAAGAAGAAGAAGGTGAAGGGGGGAGAAGGAGAAAGGAAGAGGGGGAGGGAAAGAGAGAGAGAGAGAAGACAAAAGATGAGATAGAAGTAAAGAATTGGAGACAGAGAGAAAGACGGAGAAGGAAAAAGAGAAGTTACTAGAAACAGAGACAAAACGAAGAGAGAGAGAGACAGAGACAGACAGACAGACAGATAGCGAGAGAGACAGACAGACAGACAGACAGAGAAAAAATAGCATCGCAAAAGGAGCACACCATCCGCACACCACGCGCAAAAAACACGCGCAAAAAACACACCCACGCAACACCAAGGAAACCGCCCCCACCTCCTCGTAGACCTCCGAGCGCAACCTTGAATAACCATCCCCCCCTACACCTCCCCCCTCCCCCCTCTTCGCCAC